GGGGGGGGGATATTTGAAACCAGGTTGAGGGAGCGGCAGGGAGCAAGCCTTTGAGTTGTTACTTTTCCAGTTTCTAGGCTGCCTGGGGAATCTCTGGTCAATTATTGAAGGACTGGGATCCAACCCAGAAAAGGGGAGACTTTCCCCTCTGTTTGGAAGGCCAACTCACTCCTTCTTCCTCCTAGCTCTCCCAAAGGCCTGGGACCTTAGGAAATGTCCTTGCTCCCTCCAACCCCGAGGCTCCTGGCACTAGGCCTTGCCCGAAGGTTCAGGAAGCCTAGGGGCATTGTCTTGGCCTCCTCCAGGCCAGGACCCCTTTATCTTCCCGTAACTACGCTCCTACCGGGAGCCGTGGCCCTTCCCCCACAGCCTGCTCAGTCACTCTCAGGTTCGGGCTAGTCTGGGGCGGAGACTTGGGAGAGCCCGACATTTGTGAGAAGGGCGGAGACCCAGACCCATCTTTAAAGGTCCGGAACTGGCCCTAAGGCGCCACAACACACGACGGCGGACCTGACAAGCGCAGGACCCGTCTCCCCGTCGCCTAGGCTGCCGAGAGCCCGCCATGGGTCGCTACCTCATCCGCGTGGCCACTGGGGCCTGGCTCTTCTCAGGATCGCACAACCGCGTGCAGCTGTGGCTGGTTGGGGTGCTCGGGGAGGCTGAGCTGGAGCTGCAGCTGCGGCCCACGCGGGGCCAGGTCCGCAGGGGAAGAGGGAACCCCGATCCGGGCCGGGGCTGGCACGCGGCGGGAGGGTGGTGGAGTCGGGGCAAGTGACAGCGGGACCGTGCGGGCTGGAACTTCAGGAGTGGGAACGCCTGGGCGGGGAGAGGGTCAAAGCCAGGGGTGGGGGTGGGGATGGGGGGAGCTCAGCCCGTTTCTACTTCCCCCCGACCGTGGTCCTCGCAGCCTCCACTCCTTCCGCAATTGACCCCAGGCCAGTGTCATTATGGGATCAAAGGGGAATCTCGTCGGAGAGCGCGCGGTGAGAGCTCAGTTAAGAGGACAGGTGTAAGTGATGGTGTTCAGTCCTCCATTGAAGGCACTGCGGGACTCGCTCCGCGTTCCTCGTCACCCCTGTGTGATGGGGCTTATGAGATCCATCAAGCAGGTGTCTGGAAAAAGGAATGAGGGGATGCTGTCTTTGGAGGCCTTGTCACCAGCCTCCACAAAAGGATCCTCGCACCCCCAGTAAAAAGTCCTCTCTGGGGTCCCTGCTACTAAGTCTAGCTGGGTTCTGGTCCCCACAGGAGGAAGAGTTTGAGCACGAGGTTCCCGAGGACTTGGGGCCACTGCAGTTCGTGAAGTTGCGCAAACACCACTCCCTGGTGGACAACGCGTGGTTCTGCGACCGCATCACAGTGCAGGGCCCCGGAGCCTGTCTGGAGGCCGCCTTCCCGTGCTACCGCTGGGTGCAGGGCGAGGGCGTGCTGAGCCTGCCCGAGGGCACCGGTGAGGGGCAGCGTCCGGGACGTGGGAGCAGGGCCTGGGGACTACGGGCAGAGGGGCTTGAAAAAAGTGGGTGCTCAGCAGGTTAAGGGTGGAGAAGGCAGGAAACGGGGGTTGGGGGTGGGGAGTTATAAAGTCCCAAAGTTATACGTAGAATTACAAAGGCTGGAAGTGGGACTGGACAGGGAAATAAGTGATGTGTAGATCCCACCTCCCAAGAAGGTGAGGACAGGGAATGGGAGTTGCAGCAATGCTGGAAAACTGAAGAGCCAAAGTAAAAGTGGAAAGGAGATCTGTATGTGACTGGGAACAAGTTAGGGCAGGGACAGGTAAGGGTAGCACATGGAATAGGGAATGGTGGGTGATCCCTGAGAGGAGACAGCTAAGGGAAGCAAATAAATGATATGAGGTGGAGAGCTGGTTTGGCTGGAAAAATATGGAACACAAATATGAGAGCAGGGGTGAGGATGAATGAGGACTGCAAATATTGAGTTAGTTACTGTGGGACATAAGAAAGATGAATATAGAGATAAATGAGGACAAGAACAGTAAGGATGGGAACATGAAATATATGACTTTGAGACAGGTGAATATAAGTACTGTAAGAGCAGGAAGAAGTCAGTAAATATAAGCTATGATGGCAAGTCTAAGAAAGATGAAGTCAGGTAGAGAAAGCAAACAGAACTTTTGAGGGCAGCTGAAAGTGTGGCAGGTGAGGTTCAAAAGATGTGAAATTCACCAAAGCAATATATAATAGATATAATTGTGCGCGTAGGGGTGATAAAGATTTTAACACCTTAATTCAGGTGATTTATCCAACCATAGATATTGATGAAACAGGATCAAGTAGGGAAAGATGAGTTAAGGGACAAGACAGGGTGGCAAACATGATATTTTTGTCTCAAGGCAAGAGATGAGGGCTGAGATAAGCGAAACCAGGAGTGCAAAGTTGGCAAAGATAGGATAAATGTGTCTGGGGAATCAACAAAATGAGGCACAGTCAGAGATAAAGGCAACAGAGCACAAGTGAACTCATGGACTATGACTATAGAAGGGAAGGGGAGGACAAGCAGGGGAAAGCACAGGACCACACCAAACTGTGTGGCCAATCATTTGAATGTCTCCACAGCCCGCCTGGCAGGAGACAATGCACAGGATATGTTCCAGAAGCATCGAGAGAAGGAACTGAAGGAAAGACGACAGACATACTGGTGACCACACACCCATATTAGACCCCCCCCCAAGTTGTATTCCCCCTTACCTGAACCTTCCCACATCGCTGACCTGGACACCCTCCCTGATGCCTTGTACCCATCTCCTAGCTGGGCCACCTGGAAGGAAGGGTTACCCCTGACAATAGCTGCAGGCTGTGAGAATGATCTACCTCTAAATATGAGATTCCACGAGGGGAAGAAGCTGGACTTTGAATGGTCGCTGAAGACAAGGTGAGGAAAAGCCTGGAGCTCAGAGTGGAATAAGGCCGGGAGATTCAAGAATGGTGATAAATGATGAGGGGCTGAAGAGTCAGCAAATGGGTTCATGCCTCGATACCTGTCCTAGGGCAATGGAGATGGTCCTCAAGCGTGTTTACACTCTCCTGAGCTCCTGGAAACACCTAGAGGATTTTGATCAGATCTTCTGGGGTCAAAAGAGCACCCTGGCTGGTCAGTGTTTACCCTAGGTCTCTATAATCCCTTGATGTCCCCTTTTTGATGGCCACCCTTCACACTCCATAGTCCCCCATTACTTCTGGCCAGATGAGATGTGATCATGCCTGGTCATCTCAGAGAGTCCTGAAAAATAAAAATACAGGGGCTGGATAGAGGGTGGTCGTATGCCTGAATCACTATGCTAGAGACTGAAGGAGGGACATTGGATTGTGGTGAATATCCTCCTTCTACCCTCCACCCTGACCCCACAGAGAAGGTTCACCAGTGCTGGCAGGATGATGAGCTTTTTGGCTACCAGTTCCTCAATGGTGCCAACCCCATGCTGTTGAGACGCTCCACCTGTCTGCCCTCCCGGCTAGTGCTGCCCTTGGGGATGGAGGAGCTTCAGGCCCAGTTGGAGAAAGAACTCCAGGTATCTCCTCTGCCCTCCGTTGTTCTCCCCTTGACTGTGTGGGGAGGAGAAGTGGTGAAGGGGAAGGACCGACAATGAGTCAGGGAAAGGAGGCTGTGCTAAACCACTGTCCAATGGTGCAGAGTCCTCTGATGGAAAAACACAGAGATGATAAAGTATGGAGGGAAAACTATGAGGAGCTCCCAGCATGGATTCCCAGGGTGTAGATGGGGCCAGAGATGTTAACAGGAACAATGACATTCCCTGACTGATGTCAATGCTCCTGACGCCAGTGTTCATGGGCAGGGAGAAAGGTGAAGAATGCACTGTCAGGTGAGGAGAATTGGGGAGGTCTCCTGGAGGAGGGCTGTGTTTGGAAAAGATGAGCTGAATGTGAGGCAGATGAGCAAGGCAGGACATGAGCATGTCCACGTGTGTGTGTCTGGATTCGGTGGCAGTGGGAGTCAGGGGAACCTCTGTGGATTACTTGGCAGAAGAGGTGAGATTTGGACAAGGAGTGAAAGAGTGTTTGCTGAGCTAGTGGGAGCCAAACACAAGGAGAAGACCACTGAGGGAAGATGGAGAAGGGGCCTGGCCATCTTGACAAGAGGACAGTTTCCATTGTCTGTAATGCAAACTGGACTGAGAAGCCTGGTTCTAAACCCAGATCTGCTACCACACATCCCGCACAAGGCATCAACCCACACTAGGCTGTTTCTTCATTAATTTAAAATTAGAGGAATTGGACTAGATGCTCTGGTTCTGCCAATAGGACACTGGTACTGATATAGGATGATGGCAAGAAGCTAGATAAATGTCTTTAAATGTGTTACCAGCTTCACCTTGGCCCTCTGGGGATTGAACTCTAACCATGGATGCATTCCTTCTTTCCCCAGAACAGTTCCCTGTTTGAAGCTGACTTTATCCTACTGGATGGAATTCCAGCCAATGTGATCAGAGGAGAGAAGCAGTACCTGGCTGCCCCCCTCGTCATGCTGAAGATGGAACCCAGTGGGAAGCTGCTACCCATGGTCATCCAGGTGAGGTGCCCTGGGCACTCCCCCTCCCAGCACTGCTCTCTATTTACCCCAACCTCTTCTCCCAGGAACCCAGCCCCCTGGCTCTTGGCTCCCAAATTCCATCCTCACACAGTGAGATGTGTCCTCATGCCACTCTTAGCTTGCAGCCTGGTTTGCCCTGACTTACCTAACTGGAAATACTGCTCCAGAGTCATAATGGCCTTTTGGAGTTTTCATCCTGTACCCAGTGGTTCTCAAACTTTTGTGTGCATAAGAGCTACACAAAGGGCTTGTTAAAACACAGGTTGCTGGATCCCACCACCAGATTTTCTAATTCAGTAGATCCGGAGTGGGGACTGAGAATTTGCCTTTCTAACAAGTTCCAAAGTGATGCTGATGCTGTTAGTTTGGAAACACAATTTGAGAATCACTATTTAATCTCTCAGTAGCCTCTGACTCTAAATACCCACTGTCTCCTGAATATCTTTTCTTCCAAAGATCTCAATAATCAGTGAACAAGTACTGGCAATTATCTCACACATCCAGCTTCTCCTTTTCATTCTCCTCCCCTAACTCAGATTCCCATGATATTTCTCCCAAACCACTGTTATGATCTCCATACGGGACTCCTGCTTCTATCTCTTCTGCTTTGAACCTGACTTACATGGTACTCACATGGCATGACAAATGGTGAGGGGCAGGACAGAAGGGTCCTCATTCCTCCTACTAGATTATAGATTATAACTTCCTGGAAAATAATGATCTTACTTACTCCTCTTTGTTTCCCCAAGAATGCTGACCATAATGTCATACATAAAGTTGGAGTTCAATAAATGCTTAATGTCTTTTCCCCAGATCCAGCCTCCCAACCCCAGCTTTCCCACCCCGCCACTGTTCCTGCCCTCAGATCCTCCACTTGCCTGGCTCCTGGCAAAGTCTTGGGTCCGAAATTCAGATTTCCAATTGCATCAGCTCCAATACCATCTGCTGAACACTCATCTAGTGGCTGAAGTTGTCGCTGTCGCCACCATGAGGTGTCTCCCAGAACTGCATCCTGTCTTCAAGGTAAAATCCTCTACCCTCCATGTCCCATCTCCCTCAGGCCCCAGAGAGAGGAAACAGCCCAGCCAATATTAAATGATACTCAGCAGCCATATATATCTATATCTATCTATCT